GGCCGTTCCTTCCTGGTCGGCCAACAGTTCTGTGGCAGGTGAGGCAGGGGCTGCCGCCGCCGCTTTTCCTGGCCTTCCTTGCAGGCGGGGACTCGTGACAGCACCTGCAATGTCTCGGCCAGGGACCCTTCGCTCTCCCGCTCACCCCCTCTGCCTCACCCGGCCACTCAGAGGGGGCCCTGCGGAAAGATCTGGGCCATCTGCCGCTTGAGTCAGCAGCGGATGGTCTTGTCAGGGCCCCATGCTGACTCCCGAGACAGGCTTGCCCCTCTTGCCCTGTCCCTAGCCTGACCTGCACGGCCCCTTTTCGTGGCAGGTTCCACCAGCTCTTCCTTGTGCGAACACTGGGTGAGTCGGCTTCCAGGCAGCAAACAGCCCAGCGTTGCTTCTGCGGCTTCCTCCAGGCGCACCTCGTTGGCCTCCCTCTCGGAATCAGTGGAGCTGATGGGGGAGCGGAGCGAGGACGACGGTGTGTATGCTGGCGGTGAGGTCTTGGGGGCTGGCTTCTTTCCCCGCACTGGGGGCGAGGTCCCTTCCACTCCTGCAGCTCAGCCCTCCCCGAGGGAACCGTGCTGGCCTTGGGGCTCCAGGAGGATGGGGATGGCGCACGGCTTCCTGCTTAGGAGAGGCCAAGGCCACGCGGGTGACGTCTCTGCCTTTGTGCTTTGCAGGAGGGTTTTCGACCCGGCCCTTTGTGCGGAGCGTTCAGCGCCAGAACCTGTCTTCCAGATCCTCGGTGACCAGCCCTTTGGCTGCGAGCGAAAATGGAATCCGCCCTTCGTGGTCCCTGTCAGCCAAGCTGCAGATGCGCTCCAACTCGGCTTCTCCCGTTCACGGCTCCTCTGCCACTCTGGAGAGAATTGGAGAGACGGGGGATGACCGAGTTGCCACCTCCTGCTTTGGCAGCCGGCGGAGTCTCTCCGGCAGCCACCTGGAGCCTGGGGAGGGGGAAGGCCGCCACCGCGGCCAGCAAGACTCTCGGACAGTTGGCAGGGCCCCTCTGGCAGTTATGGAAGGCGTCCTCAGAGACGAAGCCCCAGCGTGGAAATCAGGCTCCTCCAGCAAGACGGGCACGCAGACAGACAGAAGCGAATCCGCTCTGGACCCCTTTGACAACAACAATCAAATAGCCTTCGTTGACCAGAGCGATTCTGTGGAGAGCTCTCCTATCAAGGACAGTCAGAGCTTTGGTTGGTTGGCCAAGCCGGATGGCAGCAGCCCCCCCCAGGCCCTGCCCCCCCAGGACAGCTCAGGGCCGGGTAGTGGCTTGAAGTCAGGGCGGGCGGTCTTGTCCAGCCAGGATTCCCTGACGTCGCACCGGTCGGTTGCTTCCCCCCCTCCCTCTAAGGGTTTGCCGAAGGGGCCCCGTTCCCGGAGCAAGCTGGACTCCTGCCGGGCCAGTGGGCGCCCCAGCTCTCCCGCCTCCAGGCCGGGCAGGAAGGAAACAGGCTCGAAGGGCCCCGAGGCCACTTCTGCTGCCTCTGCCCAGCAGAAGCACCGGTCGGTTTCCTCACCTTCTTCCTCTGCAGCAGCTAGAAGGAGCTCCTCAGGGTGCTCTGTGCGGGGGCACCCGCCCTCTGGCAAAAGCCGGACTTCGGACCGCAACCTTGGTAGGGAGGGCTCCAAGCTGAGCATGGGCTCGGAGAAGACGGGTGTCGCTGCCAGCTCGCGAACAAACTCCCCTCGGCTAAGCCAGGCACGCGGGGAGGGCAAGGCGCCTGAGAGCAAGCACGTGCGCAGCACCTCCCTGGCCAGCCTCCGTTCACCCAGCACTGGCCCCCGTTCCAGCCTGAAGAGGGACAGCAAGTCGGAGGAGAAAGGCTTGTCCTTCTTCAAATCTGCCCTCCGCCAGAAGGAGACCCGGCGGTCGGCTGACCTGGGCAAGACCACCCTGCTGGCGAAGAAGGTGGGGGGTGGCTCCACCAAGGCTGCTGGGAAAACCCTCTCCGAGGAGAAGCTCCCAGACAAGGCCGCCATCCCTGACGCCAGCGCAGCCGCCAAAGCCCCCTTGCTGCCAGGCAAGCGCTCCCTGCTGACTGCTTGCAAATCACCGTCTTCACAGCTGGAGGGCAGCCCCAAGTCCCCTGGCGGGGGCAGGCTAACCACCAACAAGGCTTTGCACAGGGTCCCCCCTGGGGTGCCCTCCTCCACCCGCACATCTTCCACGTCTCCGTGATCCGCTGCTGCTCGGCCGCTGCTCAGCTGCCCCGGGGGGGTTGGCTTCCTTCTTCGCTTTCCGTGGATGAGGAGAGCCTCCCTGCTCAGGGCCTTCTGGTTCTGCCCTCGTACCAAATAGCCACCGGCAGCTGCAGGGCTGCCGAAGGACCCTGCTGCTGCTCTCCTGCAGCCTGTCCAGAGAGGCCTCCCAAGTGTGCGGCTGCTGGCCGGGTCCTCTCGCCAGGCGTGCTCTCCTGGGGCCTCTCCTGGGCAGGTGGTAGCCCAGCTCTGTGAGCTGAGGAGGCGCACAGAGGGAGCCCGGGATGCCAGGCGGTCCCTTGGTTCTGCCGTACTACCCTCCCACTTCAGCCCCCCGTGTTGCAAGCTTCTCCGAGGGCAATATCTCAGCGCTCACATTATTTCTCAGGTAAATGCTCAGCCAGAACTAGGAGGAACCGAAGACTCTGAGAAAGGTGCCTTCTCTCTCTCTTGAGGGATGTTCGCGTTCTTTTTGTTCTGAGAGGTTTCTGTTGGGGTGTGTGTTGTTGTTTTTATAGCCTGTCCTGTCTGGGGCCGCCTCCGTTCGGATGGTTCCCTGTCCTTCGGGCCAAGGGAGGGAGGGACTGGTCGCAGCTTGGAAGTGAGGAGCCGTGGGCAGGAAGGGGACGGTTCAAGAGGAGGGGGCTGTGAGGGTGGCAGTGGAAGGCAGGTTTCTGTGCTGGCCCTGGGCACTTGGTACAGTTCCATCCCCTTCAAGGGATGGTGGCTGGCAGTGCTGCTGGTGGGAGGAGCGCTCTGGTTTGTGGATCCGACTGGAACAAGGGTCCTCATGTTCTCACTCATTCTCCTGTGGGTGGCTTTTCAGTGCAGGCCTCCTCTTGCCCCAGCACTGTCTGGAATCAGGAATGCGTCTTCTGCCCCATGTTCTTCCTCCTCCCTTCCCTGGCAGTCCTGGGTGCTTTGAGCTCCTGAAACCCACCTCATTCTTTCTTGCTCCGCTATTCCCAAACGGTCTCCGTGTCTGGTGGCTTGGGTGCGGACGTGCAGAAAGGAAGGATGTCTTAGATCCTCTGTGAATTCTGCATGGCAGTGTGCTTCTTCCCCAGGCAAAGAGGCTGCAGCAACTGCATTTTTCTTGCTATCCCTGCTTTGGAGGTTTCCTCCAAATGAACCAAGCCCCTCTGTGGTTGATTCTCTTTTTGCTGCTCTCTTCTGTGTGCGGCTCAGGGGGCTTGATCTTTGCCCTGCGGGCAGCTCCAGAAAGGGGCTGTTGACTTGTGTTCCGTGCCCCCTCCTCAGTCTTGGGCTAGATCTCTGTAAGCAAGGGTGCCTCTGTTAATGGGTCACTTACTTGCTGCACACCCTTGGAAAGGGACTGGGGGCTCCCTTCACGCGTTGTAGGAACTTTCAGGAACTCATCTCTCCCACTTTGCAGGGTTTGACCCCTTTCTTTGCAATCATCTTTCCCAGCTGTAGCATTGGGATGAAATTCCCAGAATTCCTAGCCCCCATGCCACGGCTTCCTGTAAGCCATGATCATGTCGCATTTGGGAAGCACCAGGTTGGAGAAATCTGCTTCTGTTGAAATGAGGATGAACAAAGATGCTTCAGTTTGAGGAAGAACAGCTGGTTCCCAGGTGGTGGTGAAGGATTGTAGGCTGGCCTCTGTCCACGTGAAGCACAACGGGAAGTGCTTATTTTCTGTAGCTGGGTTCATGGAGGTACACCAAGGAGGAGGAGAGCCAGTGGGTGCAGGAGTCCGTTTGACCCTTGAGGGGTGCCTCTCTTAGTGTCTGTCCCCCACTCAAACTGACATTTTTGTGGAGTAACACTAGTTCGCCCAGAACAGTCTTCTGAAGCTCTGTGTGGCTGGTCTTTGGACCCCGGGCCTGGATCCTCTTATGATGGGGACTTGCTGTTGGTTCTCCCTTGTCCCATGGATCTCATTTGATTGAGAAAAGACCCAACTGTTCTTGAGATCCTCAGCTGCCAACTTGTCATTTAGGGCTTGTTGGACATTTCTTTGAATAAGTTGGCCTGAGAGTCAAGGTGTTGATTATTGGAATATCATATCTAAGGAAGCTTCTACACTTCTTGGGGTTGAGTGGGGTGGGGTGGGGATTGGTAGTAACTAATTCTAGCATCCTTCAAAGAGGATGGGAACTGCACTCATCCTCAACTGGCATATTTCTTCCTTGTGTGGTCACATTTCCAATGCAGAAGAGTCCAGTTCCTCATCCCAGAAGGCTTTCTGTGCTTTGGGATTAGATTATTAGGTTTGTGTTAATTGTACCTTCAAGGAACTGTTCAGAAGAGGTACCTTGAACACTTCATATTACTTGTCCTCGACACACCAAATGGAGCGCGACTACGGCAAGCCTTGCTTTAAGTCTTTCAAGCATAAATAAGGCTCAGATCAGTTCAGAGAAGTGTTGAGACAGGAAACCTCCATGTTCTAGGCGTATGTGACTTAATTCTGCAGACAGTTCTTTGCTTGGCAATCACATCTGGAATGTTGAGCATGGCCAGTTACTTTCCCCCTAAATACTGAAGTTAAATTTGCATGGCACTGCCCAGCTCTTCCCTATGCATGCCCATATTAAGTATGCACACAGCTCTTGCAAGCTACAATAGAACACACTATGGCAAGGATAGGCAGCCTGTTTTCCTCCAGAAGTTTTTGAGTTGCAACTCCCAGCATCCCTCACCATGGGCTGTGCCACCTCAGGATGGTGGGGGTACCATCTGGAGGCTGTAGCTCAGGTAACCTGGGCTGGGCTGCAAGAATTTGGGATGGAGTCCAACCTACACTGGATGCGTCTGAGGGACCAGAAGCCTTTGCTCCTTGCCTTGGTAGGCACCCAAAATAGCTTCCTTCGTGTGATCCTTGGTTTACTTCTGTGGATATAAAACTTAGCTGTGGAGTACTTAAAAGAAGGCAGGCAGTTTCTCTCATTGTAGGCTATATTTTTGTTCCTAAGCAAGAACAATCTATGCAGCTTTTACCCCAGTGATGGCGAACCTTTTGGGCTCGGCGGGTCAAAAATTCAGAAAATGCCTAACTTGACTCTGCTGGCATGTCAGCGCCCCCCTGCCCCGAACAAAAGGGAAATAATTCTTTACATACTCATTTATTTTAAAAAAAATACAGTCCAATCATGTGTGGTGCTATGCATTATATAAAGAAACGTCAAATGATTACAAAAATGAAATACAAGTAAAACAAATTCAATTTCTTTGGTAACTCAAACAGAATAGTTGTCAGGTGTTGGTGGTGTCGCAGGTTCGCCGTCACTGCCCCAGACCCATCCTGACCCGCTTTTTGGTGAGTTGTCGGCCCCTGGCAGGCTCTGCAATGGGGATCCCCCTCCCTTCCCCACAGCCCAGCAAGGCAGAGCTTTGTCCTGGACGAAGGGGAGCTGGCTGCTCCGCCGAGGCCTGCAAAGCTGGTTCGGGAGGGGCCCTTCCGAATGGCCCCAGGCAGGCCCGGTGGGCCCCGCTGCCTAGGACAGGGCTCCTCTGACTTGCTCAGTGCCTTCCGCGTAGCCATTCCGGAAACCCCTCTGCTCGGGGTCAGAAGGCGTTTTTGCTTGGAAATTCCAGTTGAAACCATGTTTGTGGGAAAGCCTTTTTCTCTTTGCTCATTTCCCTGTTAATCTGTTGATGGGTCCAACGTAACTGCACAAGCAACTGAAATTTAGTTTTAATCTTTGGTGAGACGACACGAGGTTTTTGTCTTCCTTGAGGGAAAGACGCTAAGCTGCATTTGACAAAATGAAAGAGGAGAACGGAGTTTGCAACACATGGAAGCCGTGGAAATTCCTTGAGTAACCTGGAAGGCATTTCTGAGTCCGGTTGGCCCTGGTAGCATTTTACTTCACCCGAGCCGGCCGCCCCGTCTCCGGAAGGGGCGCTCCAGAGAATCCGCCCCCGCGAGCCAAACGCGATGCTCAGACCCGATTCAACCGAGGCGAACTGAGTTCCGTGTGAGAGCTGCATCTTCCCTCTCCTTCCCCGCTGCTGACTTTGATACCGTGATCAGAGTTTCTGTCTTTTTTTTTTAATCTCTACAATCCCCTGGGAAGGAGACCGTGTCTCCTTCCCAGAGGGGGTTTTAACTTATTTCAGAGCAAGTGCATGAGAGTGTGTTGATGCCTTTTATTTATTTGTATGCACTTTTAATATGCAGAATTTATATTTTTATGTTTTGAAAATAATTTCCTTTCCAAAAGAAGAGTTTGGATACAAGGGATTGGATGATTAACAGTGAAAAATGTAATAATAGTACAATAAATTTACAGTGTACAAGGCCTGTATGAGGAGATGAGTTTTTCTTCAAATTTCATGGGTCTGCCCCCCCCCCCATTGAAAAGTAATGGTAAAACCTCCCTCAAGTGGAGCTTGAATTTTGGTCGCAGCACGGATGCGTCTGCGTCATGTTCTTGGCAATCATGCGGAGACGATTTGTCACTGCTTCCTCCTGTGGCGGATCTCAACTCCCTGGTCTGAAATCGCCAAGCCACAGAATGTCTGGCTGGGAGGGGCCCTGGGCTAATTTAATCCAAGCCCTGGTCCGGGTCCAGGCCTGCTTTGCCTTCCCCCCAAGATCGAACCAGATTTCTCCTGGGCCGCCCAAGTCCCCGAGACCCTTGAGGTAAAGTATGATGCCGCCTCTTCTCCCGCCCGAGAAAGATGGTTGGTATCTTGAAATGGTGAGCAAAATGTCAGGTTTCCCAGAATTACTCATCTGTCTGGAAAAATGGATTAAGAAGTATTTCCTAAATGTCCCTTTACGACGACAAGAAGTCATACGGTGCTATCCTGCCTTTGCTCTCGGAGGATTTCCGGGGCAGAGAACCTGCAACTGTCACGTCCTGGGAGTTCTGCCGAGCCCCTTGGAAAAGCAAAGTCCAGAACGCGTTTCGGCCACAACAAAATCTCGAGGGATTCCGGGGGGATTTCAGAGGCAGGAAGGGCAAGGACTGGTGCACGCGGCCCCCTCCCTCCCCCTCCTCTGCGTAGTCTGCTCAGCAGCGGGCCTCCCCCCCCCCCGTCTTCCCAGCACTTCCCCCCTTCCCTCCCTCCCTCAGCTGCTGCCATCGGCGTCCCGCAAGGAACCCCCTCAGCTTTGTACTCCTCCCGCCCTTCAGCCCTGTTTGGTTCTGCACGTGGACCATCCATATTGTGGTTTGGGCTCAGAGCACCCAACACAAGCCACTCTGTGTGTGGAAGAGCTGGCACCTCTGGCGTACTTTCTGTAACGCGGTGTCTGTGCTGGGCAAGCAGATTCCACGATTCAAGAGAAGATCCTGCTTCATGCTCTAACTCCCCATGACAGCTTCATGACTGCAAGACACACAACACACGTGCACATGCCACCATTGTGCCGGTTCTTTACCTCTCAGTATTAAAATAGATTTGGGGGTGCACAGACCCGAGTCCTGTCAGGAGTTTTCTTTCTTTTTTATTGCAACGAGCGTGTACAGCATACGACAGTGTCTCTCTGAATTTCTGAGGGCGATCCCTCGCTTCCAGGGAAGAGCTTTTCCTCTACACCGTTTGTCCTGCACGCAGTCCATCTTTCGGAAGAACGGCCTTCTTCCCTTCTTCAGGAAGCACCAGGGCTTGCTTTCAAGAGGGAAAACAAAGGACTTTCCTCCTCATTTGGGGAAGCACCGAGGCAGTTTCCCTCCAATTTCTGCTTTCTTGAAAAGGGGGGGGGGGGAGTTGGACTTCCCTCTGAGCTTCAGCGTTTTGGGACCTTTTCCGTCTCTGTCTAGGCCAGGAGCTGAATGCAGCTGGCAAGGCAAGGCCTCGGCCTTGGAGCACCCGCGCCAGAATGAGGAGGAACGCCTCTGGCCGTGGCTTCTTTCCTCTTCCTTTTAAAAGCTGCATTACTTGGACCTACGTTACAAACTTTGTATAGGGTAGCGGCAGCCCATGGTGATCAATTCACGGGTGGAAACGCCTTGCTGACTGTTTGCTCCTTTCCAGCACCTTGGCTGGAGCCACAGAAGGGGGCAGGACACACCTGTTTGGGTCTCACTCCCAAGACTGCTTCTGCACGCTGTGGAAGTTGCCCCAACAGATGTCCTATTGAAGTGCAGGGTCATCATTCATTCGCTGGCGATTGGATTACCACTATATTAATCTTGCCTTAGGCTATGCCAGATTAGAGCTAATGCAGCATTATTATTTCTTACAGAAGCCAATATTTTTCCAATTTTGGAATGTTTTTATGTCTGCTTATTGGATCAGGAATCAATGGTAGAATGAGAGGATCCCAAGGAGGCCACTGGGGCCTTTGGGTTGCATCCTGACCTGACGATGTTGTTTCATGGACGCGGGCGGGG